TGATTGTAACGAATTCGCGGTGAGATCCGGTTAGCTGTGTTATATTGTGATAGTGTAAGAATATCTGTAAGAAAAATTCCAGTGTTTTATTTTATTTCTTGGGATAAGAATAACTTTTATTAACTTTTTATCAGACTTGTGCATTCAATCCATTACGAACCCGTACTCACGCAACAATATAATTATCGGTATCAGAATACATCGACTATAACTTACGTAACTTGCTGTTTGTCAATAAAAAAATCTCTCCCCTCCATGAAAAAAAAAATTATAAAATTTTGCCCAAAAAGTGCATTACGTCTATTTTGTTTTCTGTCAGAAAGAGATAAAAATGTTTAATTTATTTTCTTCTGTATTCATTGATGAAATCAAATACGATAAGTGGATAGAATTATCTTACTTGCAGTAAAATAAATGGTACGTACCAGAGAAAGTCCAAGTTAATTTCAAGAAATAATTAAAATTGTTTGCTGTTTAATTTTTAACATGATGAAATTTCTTTCTTTTTGCCGACAGAATCTACTTGAAAACAGCATGAAATTTGCATCTTGCATTTTGGTTTGTCTTTGTGCTATCTGCTTAGTTGTCTATTCGCCAGTCAACAGTAGCAGAAATGACTTACGTTTACAGGACCCTCAACAATACAAGGAATCCGATAAAACTACTTTCATTTCTCGGATTAAGCGCCAAATTATGGAGCAAGGAGTCTGCCAACCAATATGCAATATGTTTGGATGCAACTGTACTCCACCACCTAACGCCAGATGTTGTACTGGATACATGTACGATCTACGTTCCCAACGTTGCCGAAAGGTCTCTCAGCGAAATCAAATGTATCATCCTCGCCAGTGGGCATTTTAATTTTCTCTGTGATCAATAAAAATAAAATATGAAAATATCTGATGTAGACACCACATGACTTCCTTATACGGCCTGTTAAATTATACGCATATTTTGCTGCACTTCATTTAAACTTATTTCCTCGAATTTCATTAGAGATATAATTCTCATTCAATCAATTCAGTTCACATTTAGCGGCACGGCAAAAATACATAAAATCTCAAAACACATTCATTAAATATTGTAAAATACAGAAAAACCTAAAGCACCAGATACAATTAAAAACAGTTAAAAAAAACAATTTTGACAATTAAAATTAAGATTTCAAGGCCAAACAAGTCAACGGGCAGAAAGATCGAATTTTCGGTGTACAAAACTGAAAGTTAAATTTCATTCCGACTGGGCAAAAAGACACTTAATTTGGTACACCAACTGAGTTAATTCAGTACTCTACTAGCAGTTTTAAAGGTAAACAAATGGCGACCTCGTTAGGCCAAGCACCACTTACACTATTAAATTGTTGATAATTCTACGACTATGGCTTGCAGATTAACTAAAGGCACTAAAGCATAAAGGCAGTTACATATCTATATTTAAAAGCCTCTTACACTCTCCCCTACTTAATGAATAACTGGGAAAAAGCACGGACCAAATCCATGTGGGAAAATGCTATCGATCACCCCATTTGAGTTCGAGTGCCACTGTAGATACTATTAGGAATTCCACATATTTTAGGTCTTACCTTATAAGATTAAACTCAGATTTCTTTAAGATAAAACTAACTTTCAAGACTGACAAAATAATTTTTATCTCTGCTTCCATTACATTCTCAGAATGATGAATGAGCACAATACAAGAATAAAACAAAAAGACTAAAATTTATTGAAGACTACAGTGTGAAATACAAAACATACTTAATACAAAATTAATTTCGCTTTTGCAGATTTAGCTGATAATATATTAATTCCGATTATGTGCAATACATAACTTAAGACCTATCACAGCATTTGACTCGGTAAATATCACAAAATAATGACTGAATGTTCAACAGCAAAAATGAATCCTTTAACAAGATTTACCACACGTGTCAAACACAACCAGAGGAGCTGCTGTAAGGATTAACGATACCTCTCCTTCTTTCTGAAATTAAATTCTTGTTCGATTTAAAATTTATTTCACTTACATATACTGGTGGAAGCAGATGAAATAGTAGCGATATAGGACAGATTTCAACATAAGCACAAAGCGTTAATTTAAGTAACCTTACCTTAAATAAGGCATATACTCAGATGATTTCAATTTGTTTAATATTAGGAAACATTCATGCACGCATATAATACTATAATACAGAATATTTTATTATGTACAAAGTAGTTATTTTCATACCATACTATTTTTACAAGTCATGCTTTAAAGGAAGTAAAAATATGCTATTCAATTTTAGCAATGATTTTTACGTTATGCTAAATCTCATAATATTTATAAAATATTAGAGTGTTTGAAAACATGTGTGGGTTAACTTTATCTGATAACAAACAATATACCTGTTATGAACAAAATTATAAGTACGATTATTAAGCATAATGATGCTCAGCTAGTAACCTAAATGATTAAAACTCTCTAGCAGATAATGATCTCTAGCATTGAGTTCAGCGATTTTTTATCCATAATGCAATACAGAAATTCTACTGATCGTATTAAAAGAGCGATTTCTTACATAAAGTGTTTATCTGAACAAGGATGGCCAAAAATCTGCTTAAATTTATAAAACCAACATATATGTCGACTATTTTTTCACGATTTGAAAATTGGCTCTTCAAGCTAATTCAACAATTTCATTATTTTAACATCATTTGAACTAATATCCGTGCCTTTCTTCAGTAGATGAATAATTCTGTTTGTCACGAATTTAGCGTTTTGGCGAATTATTTAACTGTTACTGTATTGCCCTAATGACGTTATTTCTATTCTCTTAGCATTTTTAGGCATTTTCTGAGCCTGTAATAATAATTTGTAAGAAATTCTCCAATATTTATTATGTTTATTTTAACCAGTTTGTCACACAACTTATTATTGTTAAATTCCGATCTTGGTTTTTTAGATGTTCCCTGAGAACGATTAGTTACGTTCATTCAAAAAGCAAACAGTCTCTAAAAATGTTATGACTACTACTGTTGTGTTCCCTATTATCTAATTCTTCGATAAAAATAAAACAATCGATATTTATGCTAACGTGCCAGTATGTACCGAAATTGGAAATATGCACCGAGAAACAGAATAATATAAATATAGTTAATATATCCAAAGGAAAGAAATATGCTGAGCCGTATTTCATTTTCTTATTACATTCTTAAACAACATGCTTTTACGCAGTATCAAATAAAGTACTAAAATAACTTAATCTAAAATAATATTTGTAAACTATCAAAAAAATATTTTATAGGTGAAACTTTCTATTTTACTAAAAACCAAACAACAAGCTTACGTTAACACCTTTTTTAACTGAAAAGGGCGTCAGCACAGAAGGCCTGTTGTCTCGAAACGGCATTTTGCATCCGCTCATTATAAATGGCCGTTTCATTTTTCAAATTGTTGCCACCAAATATTATAGCTGAGAATTATATTTAAAGAAATTAAATATGAAGAACCTGCATAAATGTATGTATGTTTCTAGCGTTGTGAAAAAAACAACTATCTAGAGCCATTAAATTTTTCAAATACCAAATAGTTCATAACATATTGTATTAAACTGAAAAACAGAAACAATTATATAAATATTTTCTAAAAAGTGCATACGTTCTTTTCATAGGTGAATTCCGATTTAGCCTGATCATTGTTCTTTGCCTTTCTTCATCCGAAAAGAACCAGAAACTTGTGACCTTATCTTTCAACATCTGGGAAAGGAACCACTATGGCAGCAGAGGTTTGATAGGCAAGCATCATATTAGACGGGCGCACTGACTTCATGTCTTTTCACAGAGGGTGTATGAGTGTTTAGGAGTTAGTCTGATAAAGACACAGTTTACTTTGATTTAATTTTCTAAGATTATTTGAAGTATTATACTTTATTTTGTGTCTTTGTTTGATTCGGAAAGAGGCTGATGTAATTGCTTTTTTTTGCCTGCATCAACCCCTGATGATGATACAGCGAAAGATGTAAATTCCTTTCTTCCTTTTCATTTTTAGTTTTGGAATTTGTTATACCTATGCCACTGTTTGCAACTGTGCTTCTGGTTTCTTTTCTTTTCTTTTTTTTTTAAATCTTTTTTTTTTTTTTTTTTTTTTTTTCACATGGGCTGTTCCGAATTGAATAAGGAATGGGTTTTAAGCGTATTTTAAATTTACTTTAATTTATTTTGCATTTAGGTTAAAATAACAGGTCGAACAAATGTTAATTTGGAAGTTAAACAACAAAAATCAGCGTTATATTTGTAAATTTTCAAAGGATTACTTTCGATGGTTTTACAGAATCAGCTGAGGATGATGGTTCGGTAAAAACCATCGAAACTAGTTCCGTGAAAATTTGCAAATATAACGCTGATTTTTGCTTTTTGATTTCTAAATTAATATTTTGCATTATTACCGTCACTTCTTGTTGCTTTTAGAGAGCAATTGGATCAGATTTTGGACTGTTTTTTACTTTTTATTTCTTCACTGATCAGTGAAGAAATACATTGATTGATATATAATATATATATATAATATATCAATTAATGTATTATGTATCATACATATATTATATATCAATCAATATATTATATATCATATATATATATTATATATCAATCAATGCGCATACCAAATGCCATTAAAATCTGTGTTTCAGTTCTGGATATAATACAGCAAATGTAAGAATTCTATTAATTTTGAACACTAGCGTATTCCTGATTTTGCATTTCATTTGCATTGAGAAGTTTAATTTTAGATGAAACAACAGCGGCGAAAAACAAATTTGTTACTGCAAATAGTTCATTCAAATGCAAAATATGTCATAAACATTCCATCTTAAATCGAAAGACTGGAAAGTTTATGTAAACAATCCATCAAAAGTGTATATATTTTCTCTCCTAGTAAAACAAATAACTTAATAATGAAATTCGACATGAAGCAGCATAATGGGAAAAGGAGATTTTCCAGTTTAGGAACTCAAGTAAGAAGACCTTCGGTGAGATCTGTACAAAACATACGACGACTAACCGCCGACAAGCAATTGATGCTTTGTTCGAAACCGGAAAGTGCGCCTGCCCTCCCATATCACTATCATTATCTAAAGAAGTAAGTGTAAATATTTCTCTTTAAAATTTATCTTTTACATTCTACTGAATACTTGTTGTTAAGAAAGTTATATCAGCAAAGTTATAATAATGATTATATTATCTAAATAATAACGATTATAACAAATTACTAATTAAGATACTGATATTGTTTACATTGTATAATGGCAATTTATATTCATTGTTTCCTCTTCTTGGAAATGCTCTATAAAGCTTTCTTGAAAGGTAACGATTTATATTATTTGGAACGATTATCTTTCTACGCGTAAAATTTCATCTACGCTTTCTTTCTACGCGTAAAATTTCATCTTTAATCGGAGTCACGATTAAAATTTGGTGAAGGGAAATTGGAGAAATTGGCTATTAATCGAGTTTTCTTTTGACAAACAATAATAATAATACCAATGATAATAATAATAATAAAAGTTAAATCAAATTAAACTATAACTTTTGTTAATATGAACATTTATAAAATCGAAACGTTTTAGTCCAAAGTTTCAAAATTACGGAAAAAGTGGTAAATATTTGCGTGCCCGTAGCTCCTTCGTCCTATCATTATAACGTAAAGAAAAGAAATTGAAAAAATTAAAAAATAATCATAATTCTTTCTTTTCATAGATTATTCTTTTTAGTAGATTTTCTTGCTTCATCTACGCCTATCTTCATTATCTATTTTTTTTCTCTTAAAGCACCAGAGATACTATTGGATCTTTACTTTTTCGCTTTTGCGTTGCATCTCTTCTAAGTCCAAATCACTTTTCAAATAAAAGGATGCTGACACAAAATGTCATTGCCATGTATTACTTTCAAAGATCTAATACAGAGACTATAAAACATGTATGAAAACACTTCAGCCCTATGCGGAATTAGAGAGATTTGTTGTTTTTAAATCTTTTGTGATTGTGCTGTTGAATATTATGGGGTCTAAGTGGGAAGAAAGGGATCTTTAATAAATAAAGTTAAAAAGACAAAAAGTTAATAATAAGAAAAAAGGAAAGCTGTTTAAAACATTAAAATGGCAATGCTTAGCACTGTATCAGGGATTCTAAACCTATGCTGCTTTTAAAAAATTTGTAATAGTGCTGCTGATGATTTTCATGTTGCATATTTGCAAAGAAAGTGATGTTTAAGTTTAAAGAACAAAACAAAAATATGTAAATCATCTTCTTAAGAAAATTGTACATAGATATGATGAACTGAGAAAAGACTGAGTAAAATGGAAAAAGGTTATGGTAGCATTGAACACTATATTTGAAATTCTAAAAATAAAATGTAAGATATTTTCTCTCTCCTTTTTGCATACCTTCGTGGTGTAACGATTAGCACACTCGGTTAAGGTTAGAGTCCCGGAGAAGGCATTGCTCATTTTTCATGTGGTTCTGCTTCAAAATAATCTAATGACTCCACAATTCTGCTTTTAAAGATTTTGTGATTTTACTGATGGATTTTCTGTGGCGTAATTACGAAGAATGCTTTTAATAATAAGGTTAAAAAGACAAATAAAAACTGTGTTGCAGGAGCAAATCCAAGAGCAGATTAGCTGGGAACTTAGTGAAAGCATAACAAATCTTAACTAACACTATGGGGAGACGTAAAGTGTAAATCCTTTCAAATTATTTTTTTCTCTTTTCTCCGTAGAAATTCAATTTTTTTTTTTTTCCTGTTTTTGTAACTTTTCAGCATCGGGCAGGAAGACAAACTATAACGAAACAGCCACTTAGAAAAGTATTTAACAACAATATGTCTAACGCTGCTGACTTTATAAGACGCAGTGAGTTAGGGATATTGGTTTCTAAACTAGGCGTCTTCGAAACCTTGACCTTAAATTAATGGGAATGATTTAAGTAAATTATCGCGAAAATGTACTTATGATGTATTTGGAAAGATGATATTTTTCATCAACACTCTAGAATTGATTGTTATCGCGAAAATATAGTTCCAGTGCTTTTGAAAAAAGGATGTAGTTTTCCATCAAAGTAAAATTTATTTCAATTCTATTTGTTAAATAATACTAAACAAAAGTTAGTTGTGTTCAGATGGTGTGCTCCTGCAACATATCCTTACTCTTCTTATCATTATATGTGAAGAAAGATAATTCTGAATAAATTAAAAAAAATATTACGCATACATCCTAAAATTACGTATGGTTACTGAATCTCGCATCCATCTTGTCGAAGTACTCACAACTCTCCCCCCCCCGGAACTGTATAGACACCAATCACCCTTATATGAAATGCGTTAGCATTTAAGAAGAAAACTTTATACAAAAGCCTTTTATACGGATATGTTGCATCATTTTATATACGTTAAAGAACTAGTGTACTGTAAAAGCAAAATGCGTTGCTGAATCAAAATTAAAAGCTATCATACGGCAAATGAGTTTAAATTAAAAGAATAATTCCCTTCAGCAACAGTTTTAAAGTTAAAGATTTAAATCTAGGACATCAGATATAGATTTTGAAATTGGATGTCATTGAGATCTAGAGTACCTAATAATTCTAACCATGCAAGAATTTGATTAGCAAGTAGCTGTTGAAATGCTCCAATTTTATACACTGTTTAACCCAACACAAAGCTAGAGAGCGGGTTTCAGGCAGCATATTTCAAAGAAAATATCCATTTTGACCGCTATCGAATGCAATTTAACGATGTTTTTGCGTGATATCTGTACGTAAGGGCAGAATAAAATACTCTTTTCCTTCAAAAAAATTATAAAACTGCTTTAAAATGAATTCTGAAGAGAATTTTTCGTGGCGTCTGTACAAACGTACCTCGCATAACTCAAAAACGAGTAGCCTCAGAACGTTGAAATTTTGTATATAGCACTACTGTAACATGTCGATGTGCACCTCGTATTTTCGTTGCAATCGGCCGTGACAAACGTATAAAAATATATTTATATATATATATCCACTCTGGTACCCGGCTCAGTGATCTCAGTTTCTTTACTCTTATATGTTTGTAAATTGTACATTTTTTGCTTTAAAAATGATTGAATTATATTGTTCTTATCTTCCGGTTAAGGTTTTCATGCCTTTAGTAAATCTGTATGCAATATATTCAGAATTATCAACGATTTTAAAATTGTTTAAGTGCCGCTAAGCCTAATAATGTTTTTGATGGCGGCCATTGCTTGTTTACATTTGAAACAACAGGATAGTGGATATGTTGCCTATCTAGAGAAACTTAGCTTCGCAACAACAAAGATAACGCCTTCATTTATTATTGCGAATTAAATCATGCTTAATCCTTTCTGGAATTTTTTCGAGGAAATAAGTGTTTAAGATTTACTTCGTAACTTTTAACACAGATATTTTGAGTTTTTATGTATTTTTGCATTGTCGCGAAGAGAGAACTGAATTAATTGAATGAGAAATACTCAATCGTCTGTGAAAAACTTTTTCTTTTTTGTTTTGTTTACTTAATTTTTTTATACATCGTACTAGCTTTATTATAGTATTTGAATAGAACATGTGGCAACGATTAGATAATTCTTTAAATGATGTAAATTTTGTGCATTGTGAGTTATAATATGAACGAAATATAATACTGTTAAGTGAACGTAGCGCCAAAATGTCGCTATGGTAAACAAATAAAAGGAATTTTAAAGAATGCATTATTCTACTGTGGTTTATGCGCTGTCGGCGAAGTAGATTTAATTCAATCCAATACGTTTAAATGAAATGCAAGAAAAAATGCGCATAATTTAATATTGCGTACAAGGAAGTCATGTGGTGTACACATCATTTTTTTTTTAATTTTAACAGTACGAATGAATTTTTGAATAACTAATCAGCTGGCGTATAAAAATACAAATTTGGATTGATATTTGGGAAATTTTAATAAATTACGATAAGTGAAATAACAATATTGTTATAGTATTACGTTAATTTTATAACAAGGGAAGTTGAAAATTTGCCTCAGTTTCAAGTAGCAACGTCTTTTATAGAAGTGAAAAATAAAACTATCTTCTACATCAAAACATCTCAGAATTTTTACACTCAAAATGTATACCAATTTTGTTTTATTTTAATTTATGATTTTCGAGAATTTTTTCTGATGTATCTGCCCCAAACTCATTACGCATAAAAATTACTGTAGAAATACCGAACTCTGCACTCTTCGGGTGGGTCTTCCGAAATGGTTATTAAAGGTAGCTCCAAAGGTGTTAGGGTGGACTTCGAGTTCCAGTTAACTGGGAAGTTTTATGACTATAACGTGTCTTGTGGGGAACGTTGCAACTAAAATTTATCGGCCGAAAAAAATCGTTCAAAGAGGCTGGTGTGCAAAGAAGGCTAAACGGTGATCGAATTCTATGTCCCCGGTGTTCTTGATCCCAATTGATAGCCGGTTGGAGTTTACCTCTCCATTATTCTCAGTCAGAATCACTTTGAAAAGTTGTTGTTTCAGATTATCGAACACTTTAATGCATTCTTGGGGAATGGCCAATACCAAAGTCATTTAGCTGTCTCATCATCGAGCATGTTGCTTAAGTTACATCACAGAGGAAAACCGATTCTACCCCAGAGAGAACGGAAATTCCCCTCCCCCCCCCCTCAATTTTGATGGAGAACCACCTAAAGAGCACTGAAGACAGAACAGAGGATCACCCTCGCTTCTTATTCAACCACCAAACCTCTCGAAAAGATTTTTGGTTTGCCATTATTTTAAGCATTCCCATGCCATCCCTACATTATACTCTTACAAACATCTATACCTTCTGCGGGACTCAAAACACGGGCACGACGATACAGCAGTAGTAGTTACCATTATACTGATCTGAGTGCCTTTTGCAAAGTCATACTACTACTCTTGCTGCTCAAGTTTTATTGCTCAAAGAAAGTCACAAATGCGTTTACTCAAGATTGTTCTCGACGACTGTACTACATTATGCAGATAACCGCAGTCGGAGTCAACAATGAAATATAAATTGTTTAATATTACATAATATTGTGTTAATATTACATTTTTTAACAGCAAAGAGAAAGAGTAGTAGAGTAA